TTTTGTCGTTTGGATCTCCAGGCCGCCCGGTTTCCACGGCACCGAAGCCTCTCGGGTGGCCCGGAACTTGGTTGGGACCAGACCACTCGTAGCACCCCCTTAAGCACTTGGCTTCCTGGGCCCGCCAACCCCTACCTTGAGGCGGCCCAGCTCTTCTCCGCATTTGCTAAGATTGGGGCTTTTCCGGTTCCACTCGCCCTTGAGTTGCTCGTACATGCCGGCCGCGGCCTGCAGGATAGCGCCCGAGGCCGCCGCAGACCCGGAGCTCGAGATGCCTGTCGTTCCGTTCATGGTCGCTGCCGCCATCTTCCGTGATTTGGCGAACCGCCGGCCTCGTTTACGGCAGCGGCGCCTACGGACTTTCGCCCGGCGGAAATGGGGCTGGGAGGTGGAGCCCAAGGGCGGGGGCGGAGCTACGACTGCCCGCCTCTCCCCGCCGCGGGTGGCGAGCCGTAGCTCTCTGGGAGAAGTCCCGGAAGCCCTGCCCTTAATGAACATACCAGGAGCTCCGCCTCTGTTGTCACTCAAGCTGGTGACCGGAAGTCGGCTTGCCCTAACGTCTCAACGCGCTCCTCCCATCCCAGTAGTCAATATGGCTTTCCTGGCTTCAGCCCGTGCGCTGGGGACGCTGTTACTGTCTGGAGATTCCACCTTAGGGTAGCTTCTATAAGCCAAGAGGTGGCGATGTGGAGCCAATAGGACAACTTCTTTTACATATATTTACATAAACCTATACTATGTTTAAATAATGAGATTTCATTTTATAGAGGTATGGAGAGGCTGGGTAACCTTCCAAAGCTCTAGTAGCTGGGATTTGAACCTATGTATCTAGTCTCTCTGTGCACCTGTCCGCATTTTTCTCCAAATTTATACAAATAAGCACAAACTATTTACAAAGAACATCCAGCCCTATGGCTTTAAATGCCACATAGAAGCAGATAATTTCCAATTTTTCATACCAGCTTTTACTTTCTTCATTGCTGCATAGACACTACACCTGCATATTCAGCCACTTTTTCTCGAAAGAAACTCAAATTCTCCTTCCCCCCGCCCCACGCCCACCTCGCCAGCCGAGCGTGGGGGGGGGGGGGGGGGGCAGTCTTCCATGACCACCCCCCGCAGGCATGGCGCAGGTCCCCTCCTCTCATTAAGGCAGCAGCAAGGCACAGCAGGCTGGACTTCATTTTCCAGGAGCAGAGGATGATGGAATCGGTGCCCACCTGGCAGGAACCATGGCTATTTAGCAACTTAAACAAAAATAGCAGCTTTGCCAATTTGAGAATGTATCCATATGGACTGGTGTCACTTGACCTTCAGAGTTAGGACAGTGATGCACAGGACAAAGAAATGGACAGTCTTCTGAACAAAGTGGAAGAAAGAATGAAAGAATTAGGTGAGGATAGTACTGGGCGAGTGAAATGCATACTACCCATAGTTGGAGGAGGGGCCATCGGCAGATATCAGGCCTACCGCTGATCGCTGATCGGCACATCGTATGACAGAGAAGAGGAGGTGTATGATGAAGACCCACCTTATCAGAACATTAAAATTCTACACCTGAAGCAATTCGGAACTATTCTTGTCCTTAGCGGGGATGTTAATTTGGCAGAGAGTGATCCTGCCTATACCTGGGCTATCATGGGCAGAAGCAAAGAAGATCACACTGGCAAAGATGAGCTGATTCTGGGAGGCAAAGAAGAGGGTGTATTATGTGAAATAGTCAAACTGAAACCAAAGATGGTCACTGTGGTAGAGATTGACAAATGGTGATTTGATGGATGTAAGAAATATATGCAAAAAAACATGTGCTAAGGATCTTAGTCTTAAAGGAGACTGCTATCATTTTGTTTTTTTTTTTTTTTTTTTTTTTTTGTGGCACTAGGGGTTGAACCCAGGGCCTTGTGCATGGTAGGCAAGCACTCTACCAACTGAGCTGTATCCCCAGCTCCCCATCAGTTTCTAATAGAAGAATGTATTCCAGGGGCTGGGGATGTAGCTCAAGCGGTAGCGTGCTAGCCTGGCCTGCGTGCTGCCCGGGTTCCATCCTCAGCACCACATACAAACAATGTTTGTATTTATGTTTGTAAATAAAAAAAAATGTTGTGTCCGCCGAAAACTAAAAAATAAATATTAAAAAAAATTCTCTCTCTCTCTCTCTCTCTCTTTAAAAAAAAAAAAAAATGTATTCCAGTACTGAAGAAGTATGCCAAAGAAGGGAGATAATTTGATTATGTGATGATTTCACAGCTGGTCCAATGGCCACATCTCCAGAAGAAGATTCCACATGGGAGTTTCTCAGATGGATTCTTTTTTTTTTCTCAGATGGATTCTTGACCTATCAATGAAAGTATTGAGACAGGATGGGAAATATTTTACACAGGGCAACTGTGTCAATTTGACGGAAGCCTTGTCCCTCTTTGAAGAACAGCTCAGGTGCCTCTGTTGTCCTGTGGAATTCTCAAAGGAGATTGTCTGCGTCCTTTCATACTTGGAATTGTGGGTATTTTACACTGTTTGGAAGAAAGCTAAATCTTGAAGATGATTATTCCCCTAATCATGTGTGCTGCAAACAACTTTCCTAACCTCCGCATGCTGTACATGACATCAAAATAACTTCCTTAAAGTTTTCTTTTTATATATATATATTTTTTTTTAGTTGTAGTTGGACACAATAACTTTATTTTATTTATTTTTACATGGTGCTGAGGATTGAACCCAGGGCCTCACATGTACTAGGTGAGCAATCTACCGCTGAGCCACAATCCCAAACCAAATTTTCTTTTAATTATTAATTTTAATTTTAAAAAGCAAAGGGAAAATGTATATTTTGATGAGTGAGGGTGTTATTTTTTGAAAGCCAGCTGAAGGGCAGTTAGATAGTTCAGCAAAAATTGCCAAGTACACTGACTGCCTAGAATGTAATTTTTGTTACTTATTAGTTCTGTATGGGTTTTTTTCTGTTTTCTTTTTTTTTTTTTTTTTTTTTTGGTTTTGGTAGACCAAAATTTGGATGTCTGGAGGAATGAGCATCATTGTTTTGTTCTGGAGGGAAGTTCTTGATGGTGATATGTTTTCCCCAAAAATGGATTTAGATATTAAAATTACAAAGGAGACAAAAAAAAAATTCTCCAAATCAGCTCCATGGGTTTTCTGCACTGCTGAATTACTATCCCCACGTTTGGCATGTACTAGCACACAGTCAATAAATATTCATTGAATGAATGACTATGTCAAATAAATTGTGGCATTTAAAGCCTTTTAAACAAAGAGCCGGATGTGGTGGTGCACGCCTGTAATCCCAGGGGCTCAGGAGAACGAGGTAAGAGGATCACAAGTTTAAGGCCAGCCTCAGCAACTTAGCAAGACTCCAGTCTCAAAATAAAAGGGACTGGGGATGTAGATTAGTGGCAAAGCGTCCCTGGGTTCAATCCCCAGTATCAAAAAACAAAAAATAAAATCCAGGGGATGGACTGCATTGAGACTATTGGCTAGACAGGGGATGGAGTACGGAAGCCACTTTCCTTTTTTTCAGGTCCAGTCTCCTCTGTCCCTTCCTGAAAGCACAGTTTCCTTCGAACTGCCCTCCCCCACACATGTGCAAAAGTGGGATCTGATTGGCTTAACCCAATCATTGCCCCCATCCCTTTGGTAGTGTGATTGGTAGGGTGGTGCTCTGTGACCCAAGTTCATCCACTCAGAGTGACTGACAGGACTCTGTCTGACAATGTTGGATCCCAGGCCCTTCTTTTTCTGGACAAGAGGATGTACAGCCTTAGATGATGAAGACGGTTGTCTTGAGGTCAGAGCACACTCAGAAGAGAGTAGCAGAACAGGGTAATCTACCAAGAAATGACGCCAGGATCCTGCAGACACTGAGATCTGTATCTGTAGCTTCTGTTGGGCATGGTGTCGTACACCTGTAATCTCAGTGACTGGGGAGGGAGGCTGAGATAGGAGGATTACAAATTCAAGACCAGGTCAAATTTGAGGTCAGACCTTGTCTCAAAATTAAATAAAAAGGGCTAGGGGTGTAGCTCAGTGATAGAGTGCCCCTGGGTTCAATCCCTAGTACCAAAAAAAGCTGGTGGGGGTGAGAGGAGCCCATGAATTACCATCTCCATGTAGACCATCTGAGTGAAATTTTTACTACTTACAACTAAAATTAAAATTCTAACCTCAGATGTTGGTGTTCAAAATATTTAATCAATCAGAACAGATTATAGGCCACAGCTATGGGCCTCAACCATGGAGGACCATGCCGGGTAGCAGGGAGGCCGAGACACTCTGGGTAGAACTGACAGCAGAGGGAGGCAGCTGACTTGATTGCAGTCATCTTGAGTCATAATGGTCATGATTGCCCCTGAGGAACCCTGACCTGTTTTCCTAGAATAGTTTTCCAGCACATTTCAAATAAACGAAATCACTGGAGGGGTGTGTGAAGTTTTAAAACTGGATCCCAACATCAGCACCAGAAATGTGCCTGACATCTTGGATGTTCACTTGAGATAAATCAGGTATATTCTGGCTTGGATGAAAGACACTTCTGTTCCAATTGCTCTACAAGCTCCCTCCCTCTGACCCGCTCAGTCTTACTGCTGTTCTTAAACATGCTTATTTCAATGGGTCCCCAATACATTTCATCCGTACAATTCTGGATCTGTGTCTCATGGCACAATTCACTTATGGTAGCTGATTCTTTTGCCATGGATTTTCCTGGAATCGGATAGGCAAACAGAGAAGCAACTATTTGCTAATTGGCAACAGATAGATTTTGATTATTTCCTTTTCTTTTCTTTTTTTTTTTTTTTTTGTGAGACAGGGTCTCCCCTAAGTTGCTGAGACTGGCTTCATACTCATGATCCTCCTGTCTCCGCCTCCTGAGTAGCTGGGATTACAGGTGTGCACCACCATGCCCAGTGCTGGATTTTGATATTTTAGCAATCTGAGCAGCTATACTGGAACAAATCAACTGAATATGAACCCCTGTGAGGACTCATGGATGGTCCTGAAATGAGGGTTTATTTGAGTCTAAATTAAAGAAGTAAACATTCAAACAAAACTGAAACAAAAGCAGGGGCAGGTGACAGGCTGCATTTCTAAAGAGAGAGCTAAAGGAGGTAAGGGTTGGGGCAGGTAGTAGACTCAGGTCTATGGTTTCTTTTTCTCGGCTGGCTCCAAATCAGCCTTGTGCTTTTGATCTTGGACCTTGAAGTCATCTACGGAGGGGACCTGGGAGAGAGGCCCAAAACTTGACTGAGATGATATGCTAAAGGCTCTGGAAGAGGTGGCGTAGGTGTAGTAGGATTCCGAGGCGATGATGTTATTGATCCTCCAGCGGAGATGGTTGCAGGCGTTCACCGCGTAGGGCCATAGGAGGCAGAAGAGGATGTAGAGGATCACCATGCCCACAAGCACACTGGCCGACACCTGTAGGCCACACAGCAGGTTTGGATGTGCAGCCTGTGGACTGGACCCCCTGTCCAACCAGCAGGGCAGCTCCCAGACCACCACTCACAATGACAATGAAGAGGGCCCGCTTAGCACTGAGCGGGAGCCCATGGATGTGCAGCAAGAAGATGAGCTGGTAGTTGCAGTAGGTGCTGTTGTCCACACCTCTGGTGGAAGATGGAATCCAAGACTCAGGAAGTAATCAAGCACCCCACAGGATACCCTCAACCCCCATCTGAACCACACATGGTGGGCTCACCTGTTACTCACTAGCACCTTGAAGAAGAATTCAGGGGCGATGATGCCTTGGGGAGTCATGTCATAGCATGGAGAGTTCTCCAAACACAGCCACCTGGGAGCCCAAAGTAAAGCACTTGTGCTGCAAACATGGGTGCCAAGCCCTGATTTCCTTCCTACACCCCACAGGGGGCTGGGTGAGCATGCTTGGTGCAGCCTTCTCTCATTGATTCCTTTATCCATCCATCCAGGGAAGCTGCCCAACGCCCGCCATGCTGCGGGCTGCTAATTTATTCACTCATCTCCTGCGGCCTTCACGCCTCCATCTGCTCATTTTTTTACCATGCATTCATCTGGATTCTGGGGTCAGGTACCCATTACAAGCTATCTCCTCATTCACCCCTTGCTGCCTTCACTCCTTCATCCACAAGTATGGCTTGAACACTTACTAGTTACAGAGTCCCACCTTTTTTCACTTATTCTCCCCCTGATTCAGTAAACAAGCTGAACCCTGAGGAGGTGCACCCGATTGATTCGCTTGTTCATTCTTTGCAATTCATTTACTCCTGGCAGCATTTTCTGCATTTCATTGCCTCTAAAGTAGCTATTGACCCCTATATGCTAATTTGCTCCCTCATTGTTTGATTCATTCATTAACACCTCCCTTTAACTGTCAATAAATGCCTACATGAATTATTCATGTGTTCATTCTTTCATTCAGAAAATACTATGTCAAGTCTATATTCAGGATGTGATCCTGTAAAGGGAGATAGACCCCACACGAGACAGTGGCAGCTCAAGAGGGTTAAAGACGGGGTGGGGAGGCATAGGCAGGTGACCAGTTGTGGGGAGTTAGTGGGGGCCAAGAAGAGGCGACTGTCCCAAACTGAAACAGTGGGAGAAGTCCTCCTCCTTGAAAGCGCATCTGATCTAAGAACTGAAGAAAGAACAGGAGGACCCAGCATTCCAGAGGGTCCCGCTCCACAAGGTCAGTGTCCCCCACCTCCCTTGAGGAACACAAAGGCAGTCCCCTGGCTGCAGGCTCTAGCAGTCTCTCACAGGCATAAGGGATGGCACGCCTGATGGGCAGGTTCGGGGTCAAGGGGCGTTGCGCACTCACTCAATGCCAGATCTCTTATAAGACATGATATAGAAGGCCATATCGTGGGTGGTCTCTGAGGTCTTTGTGGTCCAGATTCTGCTACCTGTTCTGTGCAGGAAGGTGTAATTTTAGCTTGGACGGAGCATGGCCTCTGTCAGTGCAGAGCCCAACCCTGTGCTCGGGGGCGGGGATCTGGGTGGGGCTTAGCTGCTGTTTGGGCGTGGTTTGGGGTGTGGGCGTGGTTTGAGGGGAAGAGTGGGTGGGGTTTAAGGCAAGGGTGAATCCTGCTTGGCTTCAGGGCTGCAGGGGCAGGACGACTGGTTGTGGGCGAGCCCCAGAGGGATTACTTGTCCAGGGGGCTGTTGTAGCGGTAGATTTCCTCCTCGTTGTAGTCTACTATACTGTCCAGCGAGGGCCCGCCTCCCACGACCTTCAGCACGTAGCTGCAGAGAGCAGAGGAGTAAGCACCAGCTTGGGGTCCTGGGTACTGCATCCCCCACTGCCCACCTCCAGATCCCCCCGCCCACCCCCGCAGGCCGGTCTCACTTTTACCTTCCCTTAAAACTGCCAGAGTCTCCCGTTACCAAATCTTGAATCAAGAAGAAGGGGTAGAACACTGTGGAGTCAGAGGGGTTGGGACCAGGAAGAGAAGGAGTTAGCTTGGTCCGAGGAGTGGATGGAGGAGTGAGAGGAGCGGTAGGAGAGACAAAGAGGGAGGAGGGTCAGCGCAGAGGAAGGGGGTGGGTTGGTGGATGGTGGGGAGGGGAGCCGAGGGAGGGAGGGAGGGAGGACAGGGCGGAGCTGTGGAGCTAGCGGGCAATAAACTATGGAAAGAAGGGACCAGACACACTGTCACGGTAGAGAAAGCAGGGCATCTCGGGGTCCACGTGCATGCAGTCGAAGTAGTGTTTGTTCTGCTGGCGCATGTATTTCAGAGTGTAGGTGATGTCGAAGGCCAGGCGCTTGCCTGGCGGACAGCCGATAAACACTGGCACCATCAGGTTGCCCTGAGCGGAAGAGAAACCTCGGTGCTGGGGACAGCCAGACTGGGTGGGGCAGGGAGCACAGCATCCCTTCAATACACACCACCACTCTGCCTGGCTCACTCCACAGTGACGTTCCTTATTATTATTGAAACAATCCTCCTCTTTTTGGGGGGTTATGGGGTATTGAACCCAGGGGTGCCTAACCACTGAGCCACATCTCCAACCTTTTTTTTTTTTTTTTTTTTAAATTTTGAGACAGGTTCTCGATAAATTGATTAGGGCCTTGCTAAATTGCTGAGGCTGGCCTGGAATTTGCAATCCTCCCGCCTCAAACTCCGGAATGGCTGGGATTACAGGCCTGACCACCACGCCCCAGGAAACAATAGTTTTAATGTCTTATGTAGCTCTTCCTACGAAGAAGCCCCTCAGTGATGCTCTAAGAGTTTTACATGATCAAAGTCCCTTAAGCCTCACACAGCCCTGCATTGTAGACTTTGAATAATCCTGTTTTAGAGATGGCAAAAGTGAGGCATAGAAAAGTCAATCAATTTATCTATTACCTAAATAAGTGCAGCTGTTAAGTGGTAGAACTGGAATTAGAACAGAGTGATCCAGAAACCTTTAGCATATGATGTGTAAAACAATTGACACCTAACACCCATGGAGTGTCAAACTTTTAGTCACATATTATAGGTCTGAACTTGAGTTTGAATTCTCCAAGTACAAACCTGCAAAAGAGTCATTAAATGAGGGAAATAGAGTCTATGATGGGGGTCAAGGTCAGGGAACACCAATGACACTATCTTCAGAATGAAGAGTCCTTGGGCCCATTTGAAGGGAGGGTGTAGGAGTTTCACCCAATTGTCAAAGGGACCCAGTTATCCAGGGACTGCGGCCTCAGCTTGACAGCGGCTGGGAAGAGAGGCTGGTGGCCATAGAGTGAGCATTTTCCATTCTAGGCCTGGGCCAAAGACTTTACACATATAAGCTCACTCACTCTGGGAGGCCTAATGGGCATCTGAGACTCAATGTGTCCAGATCACATCTTGGTAAATTGCACCTCCATCCCTTCCAGCTGTTCAGGCTGAAAGCCTTGGCCTCATCCTCTCTTTCACACCTACATCCAGTCCATGAAAACATCCTGCTGTTTCTTGCCTTCGAACAGAGACTTAGGGATGTAGCTTAGTGGTACAGCACATGCTTAGGACACAAGAGATATCAGGTTCCATCCCAACATCACAACAAAGAAAAAAATTTTTAAAAAATCCAGAACCCACCCTTTGTTTCCTCCAAATCTTCAACTCCTTTACCCCCATCCTTATTTTGTTCAACCTGGTCTCCCTGCTTCTGTTTTCCCCTCCTCGATCGTCCCTTACATGACAAGCAACCTGATGGATCCTGTGAACACCCGAGTCCCTCATCTGCTCAGAGTCCCCACCGCTGTGGAGCCAACTCATCCCCCAGGGCCCAGAAACTGGACCTCCATTCTGCTGTGACCTCTTCTTTCTCCATCTTCCTCTTTGTTCCCCCCGGATTCAGCCACACTTGCTCCTTTAGTTTAACACATGAAATCTCATGTAACCCAAGGAGCCTGGGGATATTATAATTGGACTTTTTACTTCTGGGGTCATTGCAAGTCAGAAGGGAGGAGCCCCAGCATCTGTCTGCTGGTGAGTGGGTCAGGGAAGTTGGAGAGAATAAGAACTCTGGGTCAGCTCCCTCCTCTACAGCCTCCTGAGTTACTCAGAGTAGATGTCTGCAACTCTCTGAGCCTTAGGTTTTGCCTGTGTACAAAGGGGATACTGCTTGTGCAAATTAGTGAAGAACCAAGAATCCAAAGGAGTCAACACAGAACACGTGAGTGGGCAGAAGTAGAGGCATGTGTGAAAGAAAGGCCAAGCCACTGCTGCCTTTGTGCCAACTTGAAAAAAGAAGCCCTGCCTCTGGGACACTTTATTTCTCTTTGCAAAAAAGAATCTGAAAGGACACGCAACTTTTACTTTCTGAAATGTGGATGAGGAAAGGAGGGCATGGTGAGTGTGTGAACGATGAAAACCAGTGAGAAAGGGTGGAGCTACAAACGCATTCGTGGGATTCTAGGACAAGCACTGGGATCAGCCCTGTTGAGACCTGACACAGCCCCTTCTCTCCCACCACGGGGCCCAGTACCCCAAGCTCCAATACTTGCAAGCGAGGCCCAAGGTGTGTGTCCTGGAAGCAGAATCCTGAAGCACCCACCACCTGTGGGTAGGAGCCGGCGATGATGGTGGTACCCATGGGCCCTGTCATTCCCCTCATCCCACGTCCCCTCTCTCCCTTCCGATCTTGGACCACCGCACCTTGACCATCATGGAAGTCTTCATGAGGTGATGTCCACTAATGCCCTGGTCATAGCAAAGGCTTTTATCCCTGAGAGTAATCTGGGATGATGGGAAAGGAACAGGCAGAAATAAAGAATAAACAGGCCTGCCGGAGATCCAAAGACGGTTCTAATAGGACAACGACAACGGGGCATCACTTCCCACGCGGGGGGTGGGGGGGGGGGACTAGCGCCGCCCCATTAACTCGACGTCCACCTTTGTACCAAGGCTCCTCGCCAGGCCTCACCAAGAATAGGACCGAGTTGCGTTTAACGAGAACCTTCTGCTTAATCAAGGATTCCGTGCAGCTGGGGTCAGCCAGCACCACGCCCACCGACACCTTGCTCTGCACCTTGAAGGCGCTGCCTGCCAGGGACAGAAAGAGGAGTTCAGGCCGGCACCTCCCGAAGAAGCACACTCAGGCAGCCCTCGCCCTGCCCCTTGGCCTTCACTTTGGCTTACACACCGATATTAGTGCCCATCTCGAAGGAGTACCCCCGTGCGGTCAGGAAGATGGAGAAGTGGTATTCGCCGCCCTTGTCCAGGAAAATGCGCTCGGGCAGCCCGAAGTGGGACTTGAGGTCGTAGATCTTTTCATAACTACCCATGTCGATGTGCACGCCACCCGCGCTCAGCCAGTTGCTCGCCAGGTAAAAGTAGTAATCCTGGAGGACAAGATGAGCCCCGAGAAATCAGCGTCAGGGAGGGGGTCTGGTCAGGGGTGTCTGTGCGCTGCCCCTCTCCCACTCCCAGCCCTCTCCATTTACCTCGTCCTGTTTCTTGTTTTTCCACCAGCGCCAGGTGGGATCGTGCACCGGGTCCGCGTAAGGCTGCAGGGGCCGCGGTACACCGTGAAGGGGTGGGAACAGAGACAGTCCCTAGCCCAGTGGCAGCGGCAGACTCCTTCCCAGTCCCGGTTCCATCCCATAGCAGAAGATATGCACCCCTGGTCCCAAATCGGGCTTTCCATTCAACTCCCACACTTCCCAAACCACTCTGCAAGGACCCGCCCCCGGGCCGCCCCGCCCCCGGGCCGCCCCGCCCCCGGGCCGCCCCGCCCCCGGGCCG